ACAGGCTTCACCATAAAGGCTACTTTTCAGACTGTTATCTTCCAGCATATGTGAGGAATAGTCTATGGTATGTGGGCGTGCGTTCTAATGAGAGAAACCAAAGACATCGTGGTTCATAGACTTCTCCAGGAGCAAAGTATTGCTCTACAGGACACAAAAGAGTTGACTGAAGAAACCCTTCAGCAAACTGGTACTTGTTTTTATTTTCACTACAAAATAAATATTGAAGTAAATAGAAAAATATGTTCTCCATAACTGACGTATGTGTGGACCCTCATGAAAACAAGCCTGCACGCTGGCGGGACAACCACAAACGTCACCCTTTCACTCCCAAGTTTCTTCCTCTGGAAATGACTCCAAAAGTGATAAGGTATAAACATCTCCCACAAAATCCAGCTCCAAAGGTTAGGGACAGAGAGCAAACTATCCTAGATTCCTTTTAGCTCATTTTGAAATGATTTCCACGTAACACATTCACATAAATAGTTTCACAACCTAAGAACTTTCCATTTATCTAGTGCCCTTAATTAACTTGCAAGAAAAATTTTTATCAGTGGATTTCTTTTAAGTTTCAAGATATATAAATTGATGTGCAGATGGATACAAAATAACAATTTATGCTTGTTATAAAGCCACCTCTGCTCAGTCCTGGAAAGGCAGGACGTCACAGTGGAAAGCCAGGTGGGCTGCAGGCAGTGGACACAGTTCCTCAGCCTGGTCAGCTGCTCCTGAGATGGTGGGTGAGTCGGGACACGTGTCATTATTTGTCAAATGGGGCCACGCATTGTCTAAGATGCCTCACAGAGTTAGTATCCTTTGCTTTGAACTTGCTGCCAAGTAGTTCAAGGGACTGTGTTTCCGTTCAGCCAAGGAGTAGAAAAGCAGCCTAAAGACCCACAACCTGGGGCAGATAGCCAGGGCAGGGGCCTGCTCTCCCATGCTGATGCTCTTCGCCATCCTCCCCTCCTTCCTTCCATGTGTCAGGATCAGTGATGAGCTGGAGCACATTTCAGAAAATGTATGTGGAGTCTATGTCTCCTCTACTTCAAAAAACAAACAGCTCGATGTCTTTTGTCACGTCTGGTATTTGAAAATTTATGTTCTGATTTCAGGGCACTGTGTGCAGGAGCAGAACCCGGGCATCCAATGTTAGGCTGCTATGCCGACCTCCAGGTCGCTCGCCTTGGACACGGGCCGTTAACTTGACGTGGTGATTTACTGGCCGATGAGCACAGCTCCCATACCACAGATCAGGGAGTAGAGTGTGCTATAAATGGCTGCAGCGGCCTCGAACCCCTGAGACATCCTAGACACATGATGGACTGGCCTGACCTGGTCTGCCGTGCCGTGGTGAAGACAAGGGGCGCAGGGGGCTGCACCTGCCGTGCACAATCCTACTGCACCAGCAGCGCCCGAAGCCTGTGCTGGCAGCGCCTTGCCTTGCTCTAAATCCTACTTGGTAAGCTAACCCCGTAGTACCAGGAGAGTCGCAGCTGTGAGAAAAGGACAAGATGTGAATTCTGCTTTCAGGAATTTGACCTTAAAAACAATTATGCTTAGTTGTGTAACCCAAGAAAGGAGGGCATTGAAAACAAGTCAGCTGCCAGGACCTGATGTGGCCTCAGTTACTAATTGTTACCTCGCTGCTGTTTCAGGCAGTCAGTTCTTCCATGTTCATCCATTAGTGGGAAGAGCATCTCGTCGTTTAGATAAAAGGTTGGGTGACAGCCCACAGTCAGCCAGGCATTTCCCCAACAGCCACGGGAGGGTGGTCTAGGGACACTGAGCCTCTGTGACCCACCTGGGAGCCTCACGTCCTTGATTTTTCAGAGTCGTCAATCCTGAAAAATCACCAGCTCTGCAAATCGCAACCCAAACAGGAAACCCTCTGCCCCAAAGTAGTACAATCACAATTCTTTATACATAGCTGCAAGTTATCTCCACATTGTTATTATTTAATTTTTTATAATAAAGCCTTGTTTTGACTTACAACTCCCAGAGGTTTCCTTTCAGGTTAATATAATTCTAGCTTTATTGCAGTTCAGAAGAACATGCTTTTTTAAAGCCAAAATAAAATAAGTTGTTTTAAGTGCTGACACCATCCTTAGGGCTGACAAGAATAATCAGGTTTTCATTTTGTCTTTCAACTTCATGCATCCCTAGTCCATGCAAACAGTTCAACCATTTACTAGAGATAAATGCAGCACTATATGATGATGAGATTCTGCATGATTTCTATCTTATTCTTTGTACTTTCTGTATTTTCCCTGTTTTCTAAAACATTAAGAAAACATGTTGTTATGTAACAACCTTTAGAAAGAACGTGCATTTAAAAACAAAATTGTAAATGAGACATTTATAATTCCATGGAACCCTGTAAAAAAAAAAACATGGTAGTGCCAACTGGCACCGTGTCTCTGTGCTGTCCATTCGAAGCACCCACAGGTGCCCAGTGCCTTGCAAGTGCTCTGAGGCCCCTCAGGCAGCAGCCAGGTAAAAGTTTCATTCACTAATTATAGTAGGAAAAGCTGAATTACAGAACAAGTGATGATCTTCCCGAGATGTTCGTGCCATAACCTAGAACATTCCTGGGGAAATGCTGGTCCTGACTCCCAACATTCTGATATCTATACATTTTGCTCCAAGACCTTCTGCAGACCCTTGGAGAGCATGGAAGTGTGGAAGTGTGAAACCACACTGGAAAAGCTTTAACATCTCCACAGTTTTGCTTCTTTTTGCTTCTAAAAAAATTGAAGACTGATTTCAACATAATCATACATGCAACTGAAGGACTTTTAAAGAGCTTTGTTACAAAAAGAATTGTGATTTTTTTTCCCTCTGGACATCAAACATGAGTCTAACTAATATTTTCATTGAATTGATGATTGGCTTGACTTATTCCCAGATTGACTTTATTTGTCCTTTGGCATCACAAAGATACAACCTTCATCTAAAAGTCATTAGAAACTAAAATATAAGATTATTGATTTAGCTGCACAGAAAACCAAAAACTTGACATCCTGCTGGAAAAGCTGCATGCAATTTTATAAGAAGAGCTAACATTTAAGGAGCATGTAGTATATGCCAGGTGGTATTCTAAGCACCATACCTGTATTAACTTAATTCTTGCAACAACCCTAAGTAGAAGACTGTATTATTATTCTAATTTTAAAGAGGGATAAACTGATACCGAGCCATTGAATAAGAGCTAGTAAGTAAAGAAGCAAAGGATTGGTCAGAGATAATCTCAGCGTGGCTCCTCTTACCCACTGAGCTAGGACTGCAATCTCACCCTGCAAGTGGTGGTGTGGTCAGGGCTATCGAGTGCTCCAGACCATGGACTTGGCTTCACACACTCAATTTTCCTGCTCAGTCTGCCACTTACTAGCTGAGTATACGTAGGCAAAGTCTTTATTAAAAGTCTTTAGTAAATCTCTTTGCTTCAGTTTTCTTAATCTGGTCCCTAACTTACATGATTGTCATAAGTTTTAAATTATAGAATATTTACAAGTTGGTTAGCCAGTGTAATAAGGCTCCTATAAATGGTACTTACTAGGATTATATCAACTTTTAACATCCGTTTTATCCACCACAATACTAGGGTGCACCTTAGAATGTTTGCAGTCAAACGGGAAATTTACAAGGAGGAAGGCAGACTGCCTTATTCAGAACGGAAGAAGAGTCAGAAGCCAAGATCTAGCTGTGTTTAGAAAGTTTTGCAGATCTCAAGGGAGAAGCACTTTCATCCAATTATTCTTTTAGTCAAGATCATGGGAAATACCCATATTGGAATGCTTTTAAACTCTTTATGCTGCTAAAATGCAGACACACGAGCAACACACTACTTGTAATCCTTGCGTCAAGAGATCTGTGGACAAAATGAAGGAACAAAGCTGGTAAAGTGCTAGTGTTGGCTTCGTTCATTTCTACACTGCGTTTGGAGCTGGGAGTGGAAAGGAGCAGGTCATTTCTTCCATGGGAACAGCCAGTGCACATTATTCTGGTGAAAGTACTTAAATACACAGAATAGAGACAGAACACGAAAAAGAGCAAATTGCTTTAGGGAAAATAATCTACTCCTAAGGGAAAAGGATACTCTAGCTTTGTTTTACACCCATAGACCAGAGATTGATGTTGAGACTGTATATCTAGCACACAGTCCAGTACATAATAGGTAAGAAAGTCAATTAACATTTGCCAGGTGACTGATAAGAGGAACACCTAAAAACTTTCTACCCAACAGTCAAAACCATCCTCCAGGAAAGACACCTATTTGCCTTGATTCACTCCTGAGAATACATATGTACCATCCAACTGCAGTCACAAAGAGAAAGTCTGTTTATAGAAAACTATTGCCAATGTTTTCATACCACTTGCTACATTAATATATCTTAAAAGCTTAAAACTTCACAGAGAAAAACAATTTTGCCTTTCAAAATTGCTATATTTTGCAAAATTTTGCCAAAAAATTCTTAAGACAGCTGAGTCTGCAGGGTTGAAAAGCCAGTGGAGATGATGCTTACGAAGTATCCCAGAAGGCTCTTGACCCATAACACGCCATCCTAAACTTGGTGGCTGTCATGGGTAATTTGTGCTGACTTGGCTAGGCCGTGAACTCAGATATCAGGCCAAACACCCAGTGTAAATATTTCTGTGAAGGTATTTGTTAGATGAGATTAACATTGAAATCAGTAGATATGTAGAACAGAGGCTTTTCCTTTTCTACATATAATCTGAGTGGACTTCACCTAAATGGTTGAAGGCCTTAAGAGAAAGACAGACCGAGGTCCCTGAGGAAAGGGAATCCTGCCTCCAGAGAGTCTCTGGGCTGCAGCTGATGCAGAATCAGCCTCTCCAGCCTCCCAGTCCCACAAGAGTGCGGGCCAAATCATTAAAATACATCCCTCCCTCTCATAGACATATATCCTGCTTCTTTCTCTGAAGAACCCATGATCTTAACAGCTTATACAACAACTTTTACTTCACTCACAATTTCTGGGCTGGCAATTTGAGCTGTCTTCATCAGGGTAGGTCTCATCTTCTGGGCCAGACTTAACTAATCTGGATTGATCTCATTCGTGCATCTGCCACTGTCATTTTTTTGTCAGACATTTAAAAGATCTGCAAAAAAGAAAAATAATTTCCCTTTTCTCACTAATTTTTGGGGGTTTGGAAAACATAATTATTTCTCATAAAATATGTTATTTATGTTAAAATATGTTGGTATTAATATTATTTTTAAATGCGTTGATAAATATTTTTAAATTTCACATTTTGATGTTTAATAAATTAAATATAGACAGATACGACCCATACAAATAAAAGCTCTTAAGGGTCCTCAATAATTTTAACTCTGTAAAGGGGCCCTAAGAATGAAAAGTTTGTGAAACACTTCTCCAATACATGTCCCTGCCGTCTGAAAGCGGCTGGAGTAGGGTACAGCCGACATCTCAAGGGTGTGAGGGAACGCATGGCCATTCAGACCTCCTTTACAGTGACGGCTGGAGTGGGGCACAGCCGACATCTCAAGGGTGTGAGGGAACACATGGCCATTCAGACCTCCTTTACAGTGATCCATTACACAAAACGCACTGAGGGTTTGCTATGTGCCAGGTGAGGTTGGCTGTGCACGCAGGAGCCAGGTCATAGAAAGCTTGGCAAACTTTACTTGTTTACATAATAGGCAAGAAAGTCAATTAACATTTGCTAGATGGTTGGTGGAAGAACACTTAAAACTTTCTAGCCAACAACCAAAACCATCTTCCATGAAAACACCTATTATTGCCTTGATTCACTCCTGAACATATGTTCCATCCAACTGCAGTCACAAAGAGGAAGTCTGTTTATAGAAAACTATTGCTAATATTTTCAAACCACTTGTTACATGAATACATCTTAAAAACTTAAAATTTCACAGACAAAATCACTATGGTTTCAGCTTTACTTAGATGGAATGAAAATAACTGAAGTATTTTAACAAAGAGAATGATGTGGTTCCATTTATCTTTCAGAAAGGTGATTATGAGGCTGTGTCTACAATGGAAGGAAGTCAGTAAGGCTACAGCCAAGGAGATCCGTTGGAGCTTTTAGCTGAAATCCAGATGAGAAGAGATTAAGGCCTCCTAAATTAAAGTGGGAACAGAAGGAGAAGAAAGAATATCTTTTGGGAGCAATAAATGAGATAGGTCTGCACTACCGGGCAACTAAATAGGTACACAAAACGAATGCATTTCCATTCTTCGAAGAATATTTTCCCCAGAGTGTTGACATTGTCCAAAAGACATAAAGAGGTATTTTTCAAAGGAAGATATACAAATCATCAATGAATATACTAAAATGTGTTCAGAAATCACTAGAATCAGAAAATGAAAGAGCACTAAACATAGAAAGGAACAACCAGCACCAGCCACTCCAAAAGCATATCAAATGGAAGAGCATTGACACAATGAAGAAACTGCATCAACTAATGGGCAAAACAAACAGCTAGCATCGAAATGGCCAGGATCAAATTCACACAAAGCAATATTAACCTTAAATGTAAATGGGCTAAATGCCCCAATCAAAAGATGCAGACTGGCAAATTGGATAAAAAGCCAAAACCCATCATTGTGCTGTATCCAGGAAACCCATCTCATGTGCAAGGATACACATAGGCTCAAAATAAAGGGATGGAGGAAGCTTTATCAAGCAAATGAAGAGCAAAAAAAAAGCAGGAGTTGCAATCCTAGTCTCTGATAAAATGAACTTTAAACCAACAAAGGTCAAAAGAGACAAAGAAGGGCATTACATAATGGTAAAAGGATCAATGCAACAAGAAGAGCTAACGATCCTAAATATATATGCACCCAATACAGGAGCACCCCGATATATAAAGTAAGTTCTTAATGACCTACAAAGAGACGTAGACCCCCACACAATAATAGTGAGAGACTTTAACACCCCATTGTCAATATTAGACAGATCAACAGGACAGAATATTAACAAGGATATTCAGGACTGAACTCAGACCTGGACCAAGCAAGCCTAATAGACATTTACAGAACTCTCCATCCAAAATCCACAGAATATACATTCTTCTCAGCACCACATTGCACCTACTGTAAAATTGACCACATAATTGGGAGTAAATCAGTCCTCAGCAAATGTAAAAGAACAGAAATCATAACAAATATAGTCTCTCAGACCACAGTGCAATCAAGTTAGAACTCAGGATTAAGAAACTAACTCAGAACCGCACAGCTTCATGGAAACAACAACTGGCTCTTGAACGTTGACTGAATAAACAATGAAATGAAGGTAGAAATAAAGATATTCTTTGAAACCAACAAGAAAGAAGACACAACATACCAGAATCTCTGGGATACATTTAAAGCAGCGTCTAGAGAAAAATTTATAGCAATAAATGCCCACATTAGAAGCAAGGAAAGATCTAAAATCAACACCCTATCATCAAAATTGAAAGAGCTAGAGGAGCAAGATCGAACAAACTCAAAAGCTAGCAGAAGATGAGAAATAACTAAGATCAGAGCAGAACTGAAGGAGATAAAGACACAAAAAATAACCCTTCAAAAATTAATAAATCTAGGAGCTGGTTTTTTGAAAAGATCAACAAAATAGACCACTAGCCAGGCTAATAAAAAAGAAAAGAGAGAAGAATCAAATAGATGCAATAAAAAACAATAAAGGGGATATCACCACAGATTCCACAGAAATACAAACTACCATCAGAGATTACTACAAACAACTCTATGCATATAAATCAGTAAGCCTGGAAGAAATGGATAAATTCCTGGACTCTTTTATCGTCCCAAGCCTAGACCAGGAAAAAGTTGAAACCCTGAATAGACCAATAACAAGGTCTGAAGTTGAGGCAGCAATTAACAGCCTATGAACCAAAAAATGCCCAGGTCCAGATGGGTTCACAGCCGAATTCTACAAGACATACAAAGAGGAACTGGTACCACTCCTTCTGAAACTATTCCAAACAATCCAAAAAGAGGGAATCCTTCCCAAATCATTTTATGAGACCAACATCACCCTGATACCAAAACCTGGCAGAGACTCAACAAGAAAAGAAAACTTCAGGCCAATATCCATGATGAACACAGATGCAAAAATCTTCAATAAAATACTGGCAAACTGATTGCAACAGCACATCAAAAAGCTTATCCATCACGATCAAGTAGGCTTCATCCCGGGGATGCAAGGCTGGTTCAACATACACAAGTCTATAAACGTAATTCATCACATAAACAGAACCACAGACAAAAACCACATGATTATCTCAACTGATGCAGAGAAGGCCTTTGGCAAAATTCAGAACTAGTAATAACACCAAAATGTTAACCATGATCACCCTCAGGCTGCTGTGCCTTAGAGTCACTTTTATTTTCTTCTCTATGCTTTCCATATTTTCTACAACCAGGTCAATAAAATTTTGAACCATCCCCGTATGCCACAAACCTCTCTGAGTATATTTTATTACACAGCATGGTGTGATAATGATGTTTACAATAATAACATACACTTATTTTTAAAATATTACATTGAATTCAACATCCTCAATGTATAAAGAAGGAAAATCTGTGTGGTGGAAACATGGGTTTGATTAGTCTGTACTTTTTTGTGTTCTTATTTTTAAATTCAGGAGGTGGGCAATGAACTTTTTAATGCTTTCCATCCTAGCAAGTAAAAATTTTTAAATGTCAAAGTTCTCTAAAGGTAACCTTCAATTACTTGTAAAAGTCATTTTTATGAAATACCTAGTTCCCCAATATTGCTGGTTAAATAAAACATTATTGCACATATTTCAGAGGAAAAGGTATTTATTTGACCTTTGGCAGTTCCAACACTGCAATTTAATACTTTATTTCACATACCATTCGAGCTGATCATATAGTAAAAAAATCACAGAATTTTGAAAAACTCTATCCTCCATTAGCACGATTCATTGTGTCAATTGGCATCAATGCATTATATGCAACACCTAAAAGTTTTATAAGTACTTTAATAGCCTTACAACAGGGTTTCAAAATAAGGTATAAGAGAAAGCGAGCCTGGGGAGTTTGCATGGCTGGCTCAGGCTTGCATGAGGGAATATGTCCACACTGACACATCCAGTGCAGAAACCACGGGGCAGGCTCGGCACAGTCTGGCTGCACGCCGAACTATGCGTTTCCTCGTCAGTATGCTCTGCTGACTTGATTTTTTCTTAACTTCATGAGAAGCGACAATATTTATTCCTACCACCTAGAGGAAGAGAAACCTTTTTTACCCTTTGATCTTTTACTTGTCATGAAGGAAAGTGAAACTCAGGGCTTCCGTCTTAGCTTCGTCATGGCTCTCGCCTCACAGATGCGCCTGTGTGAGGTGCCTTGAGCTGCAGAGCGCAAGACATGCTCAGAATTTATGCTCAGAATTCAGTCAGAAGCTGATATTATAAATGGCACCAAACTCCAGTCATTTGATATAGTTTATTCAGATTTTGACCATCTGGTTCTTTTATTTCACCAGTCCATGTGTGCTTAAGATATTATTCTACTATTAAATTGAAGGAATACCAGGCTCACAATAAATAATCCAAATAAATTTTGCCACGATGTGCACATTTGGCTCTGTCTGCTGAGCATAGCCCTCTGGCTCTCCTGATGCATCACCCAGCCATGTTGTTTGAATGTACTTCCTCCCGTTTGCCCAGGCATCATGTTGTTCACTATCTCAATGTGCATACCTTATTCTTTTCGTAAGATAGTTACAGAGAACTAGTCCTAACTCCTATTTCTGCACGTATGATGACCTAGATAGGCAGATTGAAAATAAGGGAAAATATTGAATTCCATTCACTGGTGATCTGGCAAGAAAGTAAGAAATATTAAGAATTATTAATCTAAATCAAGCCAGAAGCCCGGACAGGTTAGCAGAGCACTAAATCCTATTTGTCATGGTTGGGCATGTGGAAACAAAAGGAATTTCAGCAACAACTTTTGTGGTCTGATGGGTGAGGGGAGAGACAAAGACAAAAGCTCAGGCCAGCCCATTAGCCCACCCAGCTCTTCAGAGTGGGAAGCCTGAAGTCAGAGTAAAGATTAATCATTGTTATCCTTCTTTTTTTAAAAAAAAGT